GATGGATGCCTGGATGGATGGATGGGTGGATGGATGGATGGATTTCTGGCTGGATGGCTGGATTGCTGGCTGTCTGGCCAGATGGATGGATAGATGGATGATACAGACAAGCAGGAACATGGCTTCGTCCTGGGCTCCTTTTCTCTTCCAGTACCTTAATCCCACTCTACTTTTCGTTCTAACTTTTAAAAATTGAGTTACATAGAAGAAAGAAGTGCATACACCTTGCATGTATAGCAGATGAATTTTTTTTTTAATTTTTTTTTTAACGTTTATTCATTTTTGAGACAGAGAGAGACACAGCATGAACGGGGGAGGGGCAGAGAGAGAGAGGGAGACACAGAATCTGAAACAGGCTCCAGGCTCTGAGCTGTCAGCACAGAGCCCGACGCGGGGCTCGAACTCACGGACCGCGAGATCATGACCTGAACTGAAGTCGGACGCTTAACCGACTGAGCCACCCAGGCGCCCTGAGATGAATTTTTACATACATATACATCCATACAGCCACTGCCAAGATCATGATACAGAACAGTTCTAACTTCCTAGGAGGCCCCTTTCTCCCACCCCACTTTGAACAGCAACATCACCTACCCATGACACCACCCTACCACACACCCTGTGTGAACCAACAGTGACCACCCACACACTCAGCCACTAAGCCCCAGAAGGCATCCTAGGGCCTCTTTCCCTGTTCACAATGAACTAGGCCCCAAGCCCTGGCCTTCTTGTCTCACTTCAGTCCTCTGTCCCTCCTCTCATGCCACACTGTCTCAGCCTGGATTGGTGTCACAGCCTCCAGGTGCTCTGCCTCCAGGTCAAGTCTCCTGTCTTCTGTCACCTCCTCCATGTGGTGGCATCTCCTTGAAGATGGTGTGGTCATTCAGTGATTCCTGGAAATTTTCAGGCAGTCTCCACTGGCCCAGCTGTTCCTTGTGGCTCTTGGTAGAGGCCGAGTGCCAACCAGTTCCAAAGCTGCTGTCTAATCACATGCACCCTGACACCCCAAGCCTCTCCCTGGGACCCAGAAGGATGGGAATGGTGCCAGTGGGCAGTGCGCTAAGAGGAAATGCCCATCCCTCCTCCGGGGACCCAGGAGCACTCCCCCAGAAAGAGAGGATATGATCCAATGGAGAGAGAAATGGAAGAATAAATCCCAAACAAAGGGCAGGAAATGCCATTCTAGGCTGGGTAGTCCCTGGGAAGGGGCTGGTGGACAAAGAGATGCCTGGAAATGCCCGTGGGTGTCCCTCCCAACTTGGCACCCAGGGCAGGTGGAAATGCAGGCTCTCCCACCAGCTGGGAGTAGAGACAGTTCCCAGGTGAGTTTTGCCAGCACTCTCTCCATTGTTTTGACCGGTTTTCAGTGAGTGCTCCTCACAGCCCCTGGCTTGGCTCCTTCCTGCTCTTTTGTCATCTGACATCCTAGCTGTCTGTCTTCTAGAAAGTCTTTCTTGAGCCACTCTGATAACCAGGGTTGGATGCCCCCTGCTTGGTGCTGTGATCCCCATAGACTGTGCCTGCCTGGTCACTTATCTAGACTATGAACCCCCCAGGGGGGCAGGGACTATGTCACATTCACCACTGTATCCCTGGTTCAGCTCTGGCACACAGCTGGTGCTCAAGAAAACTTTGATGGGTGCTGAAATGAATGAGCAAATGCCTGAGGAGGAAGATGAGAGCCCCTCTCAGTCCTGTCCTAACCTTCCTGTTGTGGATGCCTTGTCTCCTCCACCACCCCTCCCCTCCCGCTTCTGCTTTCGGAGGAGGAGGAGGAAGGGAGGAGAACGTACTGGACTTCTGCCCCTCAGGCACCGTCCTTTCTCCTTTTGCCCACACCCAAGACCCCCTTCCTCAGGGAGAACTTTTCAACCAGAGAGTAACTCATGCTAGCTTTGATAAGTAGTTCTTTGGGACCTTAATTTTCGGAAGGTGAAATGAGGGGGATCAAATCACTTTTTAAAAAATGAGCAAGGGGCGCCTGGGTGGCGCAGTTGGTTAAGCGTCCGACTTCAGCCGGGTCACGATCTCACGGTCCGGGAGTTCGAGCCCCGCGTCGGGCTCTGGGCTGATGGCTCAGAGCCTGGAGCCTGCTTCCGATTCTGTGTCTCCCTCTCTCTCTGCCCCTCCCCCGTTCATGCTCTGTCTCTCTCTGTCCCAAAAATAAATAAACGTTGAAAAAAAAATTTAAAAAATAAAAAATGAGCAAATATGTCAAAGGAAAAAAAGCTCTGGGCTAAAGGCCAGGGGACCCAACCCTGCCAATAATAATTCACTTCATCTCATGAGCACCTACTGTGTGCCAAGGACCACCCTAGGTGCTTTACTTCCATCGTCTTATTTAATGGAGGCATTACTACTATTATCATCAAAATCCCCATTATACAGATGAGGACACTGAGGCAAGGAGAAGTTAAAACACCTACCAGGAAAGACCCAAGTCAGATCTGTCTGATCCTAAACCCTGCCTGCTGGGCCCAGGGTCTGTTATGCCTAGAATTCATGATCCCCAAAGACCGCCAGGGAGCCGAGTCTGATGTAAAAGCAAAAGAGCCTTTATTCGAGCTAGCTCGAGCTCAATGCCCTACCTGCACCCTACGCAGCGGTGAGATACAGGGGGGAGAGAGCCGAGTTTCAAAAGGACAAAGGTTTTATTGGGGCCTAGGGGCAGTTGGTGGGGTAATGGCTGTGGCCTCAGCCGATTGGCTGGGGAAGGATCAGAGTCCTGTTAGGCAGGTGAGCAGGAGGTTACTCAAGGGGAAGAGGCGTGGTCAAGGTGAAGGACACAGAACAAGATGGAGTCGGCTGGTGTAGGCCCGCGCTCTCAGGTCAGGCTGCATTTTCTCCATGGCTCTGCTCCCTCCGGATGCCCCCACATCCACACTGGGTCTTGTGGAGAAGACAAGAAGGTGGCTGCAGCAAGGGTTGGAACACGCCCCACAGGCGGCATCTCAGGAGGAATGGGAGCCTCCCCGGCACAAAAGCTGCGGACGGATGATCCAGAGCTGAGCAGGGGCTAGGTTGCAAGGAGTAGCCCATGCTGTCCCCGCAGAAGCGAATCTTCAGTGTTTTTAACAAGCACTAACTCCAAGGTAGCTACCAGAAGAAACATCCCAAACTGTTCCAAATTGCTGCTTCTCAGGAGCAGGTTTGGGGCAGATGAGAGGTGATACAGGACACTTACTTTTCATTATGAGTCTGCCAGTGGCATTACTGTGGTTAAGCAAAAATTCGTTTTTAAAAAGGAGTCCACGCCAAGCGAAACACTCTTCCTCCACTTGTAAATGTATGTGTTTCTTTCTTTTTCCTCCCCCTCCCCCATTCTATCCCCATCCCCTTGTTTTTCCAGGAAGAAAAAGTGTTGGGCATCCTGGTGCGGCACCCAAGTCCAGAGTGGAGTCTCGGGCGAGGTGGGCCCGGAGGTAGATGGGCTGTCCTTCCACGGCACCCACGCCCAGATGATCCAGAAGCTGGTGGATGTCACTGCGATGGGTATGTGACTGTGCATGTAGAGTGCGTACCAGATGGCCGTTCCTGGAACTAGGAGGGAGTTCCCTGAGGGCCCTGAGCTCCTTTCCACACGGTCCTGGGTGAGCAGCGCCTGTGACGGGACAGCGCAGACGTTGGGGACCGAAGAGGATGTTTCCTCAGGGCTTCCAGTCCTTTGCTTTTCTTCCTAAGTGCTAAGAGGGATTGATTTCAGCCCTCCTCCTCAGGCTTCTTCAGAGCACCCACATGGTCTGCTCTGAGAGTTTTCCGAGGCACCACTTATGGGGACAAGAGGAGGCATGACTAGAGCCATGAATAATCCCAAGGCTAATTAAGAAATAGTAAAAAAAAAAAAAACCACACACAAAAAACGGAGGGGGCACCTGGGTGAGGAGGGGGCACCTGGGTGACTTAGTTAAGTGTCTGAGCCTTGATTTTGGCTCAGGTCATGATGTCGTGGTTTGTGAGATCGAGCCCTGTGTCAGCCTCCGTGTTGACAGTGTGGAGCCTGCTTGGGATCCTCTCTCCCCCTCTCTCTCTCTGCCCTTACCGCCCCCCCACTCTCTCTCTCAAAATAAACAAAAAAAAAGAAATCGTTCAATGTACAAATATGTAGCATATGTTTACAAACCTCTGGGACTTTACTAAAGGTTTACTCACTACCACCACCAACAAAATATTTATACCTCTGAAATGCTTTCTTTTTCAAACATTTTGTTTCCTTGGGTCTTCAAACCTTACGCTTATCGCCATCACCCCTCCTTTCTGTTCCTCACCTCTCTTCACCCCCACACCTCCCGACACCCCCTACCACAGAGCCTGACTCTTGGCCCCGCCTCCTCCCCATATGCTCAGCCCCAGCCTAGAGCCAGAGGCTTTGGCCTCCCTGAATAGGAGGGCGGCCACACTCCTGGAGCCAGGGGGTTGGGGGGTCAGGAGTGTCTAGGGCTCAGGTGGCTCACAGGCTCCTCCTGGACAACTGTAGTCAGCTTGTCCTTATCTCACTCACACTCGTCCAGTGCACGCTTCCCAACAAAATTAGGAGCAGGATCACCGACCACATCCCATTACACTCCCCTGTTGAGCTAATACGGTATCTCGTGCTAGTTCACTGCCGAGCGATGGCTCACTCATCCAGATGGGGTAGTCTGGCTTCCCAGCTACAGCTCCAAATGTTTATTGGGCCTGCTTTGTTTTATTTCCTTAAACATGTCCGCTTCAACTCTAAGGGGCATTAGTTGTGAAGCGTGAAACACATGCTACAAAAATTACCCCTAGGTTGTCTACTCAATAGAAGTTAAAGCCTAAATGTGTAGTAAGTAATCTGGGATTAACTTCCAGTGCTATTTGCACGGCAAAGCCCCTGGCCAGCTAGGGGTGGGACAGCCCAGACCTCCCCTTGTCATTCTGGTGGGGAGTCCCCACCTACGGGTCTGTGCTTCCGCTGGTGTGGCCTCCAGGGCTGACGTGCTCATTGTGATGAGCTCGCAGTCCCTCCCATATGCAACTTCTCACAGCTCACTGAGCCTGTCTCCGCTGTCAGCTTTACTGGCCAGGTGTTCCACGCTTACAGTTTTCGGCCCTGACTTGAGACGGCCGAGTTCCGCATAACGGGGGCCTCTGAGAGCCCGCCCTGGCATTTGTGAAGTCTCGATGACTAGGAGAGAGGAAGCGAGGAAGCATCACTTTGGTAGAGCTGCCATCACTCTTCTGATTCATATTTTGGGGAAAGACACTAATGGGCCTTTGGTTTTGCAATAGTAATAACAGAGTTCTGTTCTGGCATGGAGAAGTTTAAGGCATGACCGTGTAATAGGTTATGTGCGCTGTGGCCAGAAGTTTATGGGATGATGATGACATTGTTTAGGACAGAGGCCGAGACCTGGGTGGAGCCCAGACAAGGCCGCGAGTGGGGGGTCCTAGTTCTGGAGTGAGACATCCGCAGTAGCCCCGCCCTCCCCCCCACCCCACCCCCCCACACTGCAGGGAGAAAGGGGCTAAGGTGCAAGCAAGAGCCAGGAATAGGGGCCAGCAGGGACCAGCCCAGGGACCACTGGAGCTCTGAGTTCCAGGATCCAGTTTTCAGCCATTTCCGTTCCACAGGATGATTCCTGGTCAAGCCTTTCATAAAGTTTGGCTCAAGTTTATCCTAGTGTTGGCTGTGTTTTGATAAAGGGCCTGTGTCCACATCTAGGGTGACTGGGTGAGCATGGCTATGGCCTAGAGAAGCCAGTTGCAGTGGGGAATGGTGGGGCAGCCTGGGGTAAAGATGGGCTGGAACGTCCCCCGGGATGGATTCATGGGGCAGGTGAGCATCTTGGGGCACTTCCAGGAATGTTAGAGGGGGATCCTGGCAAGCAGTGTCTGGGATGCTCTCTGGATATTCAAGGGCAGGCTGGAGACCTTGGGCACATCGAGATGCACATGCCCCATAGACCCTACAGGAGGTGGGACTCAAAGGCAAGCAAGCCAACCAATGGAGTCAGGGTTCCTTAGACCCCTGCTGTCCTATTGCTCATCTGGACAAGACATTCCTCTGAATTCATTTCATGCCCCTAATTGCATGGGCCCTGCTGATGGCCAGCCCCACCTCCTTCCTGCCCATTCCATATGGGTTTCACTGCTCCTCAATGATAATTCCCAGATTCAAGAGACCACCGCTCTAGGCAGGACGGAGAAGATGTGGCGTAAGATCAGTTCACATGGACTCAATGTATGTCAATGATGTGCTGTGTCTGCCAGAAAAGCCAATGCATCGACAGAAGCACAGTGAGGTAGTGGTGCCTGGGTGGCTCAGTCGGTTGAGTGGTTGACTTTGGCTCAGGTCATGATGTCACAGTTCATGAGTTTGAGCCCCACTTTGGGCTCTCTGCTTTCAGCACAGATCCCACTTCAGATCCTCTGTTCCCCTCTCTCTCTGTCCCTACCCCCTCACCCTCTCTCCCTCTCTCTCAAAAATAAACATTAGGAGAAGAAGGAGAAGAAGAAGAAGAAGAAGAAGAAGAAGAAGAAGAAAAGAAGGAGAAGGAGAAAGGGGAAGGAGAAGGAGAAGGAGGAGAGGGAGGAGGAGGAGGAGGAGGAGAAGCACAGTGTGAGGTAAATGGTCCCTTTCTCCTCAGTGCAGATCAGACAGGCTTGGTCTCACTTCAGATCCAAGCATCACATTTGAAGAAGTGAGTTTTGTTCAGGTAAGATTTAGGAAGGTGAGAGCTTAAAACCTGTTAAATGGAGGTAGGTGACTTAAATTGCCATCTGTCAGAGACTGGCTGGATGCTCACCACTTCTGTTTCCCTTTCCTGAATACATAGGAAAATTACATTTCCCATTCTCCCTTGCAGTTGGGTTGGAGCATGTGATTGGAATCTGGCCAATGGAGTGTGAGTAGTAGATATCAATCACTTCCAGACTTGGCCATAAATGCCCCGTGAGATTCTTTTGGTGCTGCTTCCCCTACCTGTGTGGATGGAACAGTACCCCAAGATGCGGGAACCTCTTGATGGAAGGATTCTGAATCACTGCCATCACTTGGATGAAGATTTTCCAGAACTGGCAGCCTCTCGTTGGACTTTGGATGAACAGAAGACAAACTTTTCTTGTTTTAAGGCACTGTGATTGTGGGGGGGGGTGGTATATTCATTACTGCAGTATAATCCAGCCTTGTCTAATACAAGCTTGCAAGGTTTAATACTGAGAAGTAGGACAAGAAAATTCTCTTCAGATGCCAGTACTGGAAGGACCATGTACTCCAGGGGCACAGTTCATGTGCTTTTTTTTAAAAAAAAAAAAATTTTTTTTTAACGTTTATTTATTTTTGAGACAGAGAGAGACACAACATGAACGGGGGAGGGTCAGAGAGAGGGAGACACAGAATCTGAAACAGGCTCCAGGCTCTGAGCTGTCAGCACAGAGCCCGACACGGGGCCCAAACTCATGGACCGCGAGATCATGACCTGAGCCGAAGTCGGCCGCTCAACCGACTAAGCCACCCAGGCGCCCCACAGTTCATGTGCTTTAAGGCCAGTGGGAAAAGTGGTTCCACTTTGGCTCATTAAGAGTTAAGATTTTCTGACCAACCCTGGAACGACTTATCTCGGGTAGTAGCAAATTGGTGTCATTGGTGGTATTCAGAAAACTGGACCATCATTTGGGGGAGAGGGGATATACCTGGGATAATTCATGGAGAGCAAACGGGATATCATGACCTGTATGGTGCATTCCAGCAATGATATCTAACATATAATCTAGCAGCGTCCTTCTGAGAGTTGTTGAATGAAAGCAAATGGAATAAAAATCCCACCATTTCTCCAGATCATTGGGTACTATTGTGACCTCCAGGTGATTGCCATCAAAGGCCATTGTCTTGCTAGATGAATTCCAGGAATGGAGGCTGTAGGATCGCCAGCTTCAAGCAGCAGATTTTTCAGAAAAGCAGTGAACCAAGCGGACCACATTCTGGCTATCTTGGCTCTACCAGCCAGAGGGAATGCGGCAGATGGGGCTGCATTCTGTGCTGAAAATTTCTCCCACTCTTGTCTGGCCAACCCACAGACCAATGTATATAAACAGGAAGATGAGCCCTCATCTTGCTAAGCAACACTGGTGAATAAAAAAGGAATCTAATGGCTCTGTCACCTTCCGTCCAAACCAGATGGGCCTTTTCCTCCATCCATTCTCTCAGGAGAGAAAGGAGTCTTAATCCCCAATAATGTCCTCAGTCTGTTTGGAAGAAGGATCAATTCTTGCAGAAAACTTCAGGACTCCAGGAATCTGACCCAGAGAAGGATTAAGTGACCAAAACCAAATTTACATTTTAATATGATGCAGTTAATCTTGAGCGATAAACACATAGCCTGCCACTGTTGAGAAGATGCTAAAACCTAAAAGGGCTGGTCAACAAATGTGAACCTCCCCAAACAAAACCCAAGAAGTGAGGACATCCCCAAGAGATGACTCCAGCAGGTCTTTCTACTTTGGCACTCTTCCATGGTGAGCGGGGTGGTCTCTCTCATCAAGCCCTTCCTCACTGTGGGGGACAGAGGGAGTGATATTCCCCAAATCACAAGGCTGGACTCTGTCCTCAAAAGGAGGAAAACAAGTTAAGTCCCAGAGTGGATTTGTAACGATGTGCTATAGAGCTGAAGACACGTTATGAATCTCAAGAGGAGAGAGAGAAGACCCAACTTCACTTGAAGGCTCCATTGTTTTTGGCCACTGCTGGCTGACCAAGGGAAAATACCCTAATTTCTCTGACTTTTCTCTAAGAAAACCAATCCCTGGATCTTCCTAACTCCATTGGGTATTTCAAGAGCCTTCTAGATACCCCTGGTGTTGGAAGACCCTCCCTCCCCATAAAGACTTGCAGCACACTCCAGCTGTGGCTTTTTACTTTGCTTTATTTGCAGACTCAAGTTTGCTATGTAAATCCATTGCACAGTTCGGCACACACATACTTGGCATAAAAGGGAGGACCGTACAAAAATACAACTCTTGATAGTAAAAGGAACCACCCTCAGCTCATCCCCGTCCATCCTCCTAGTGGGAACACCCATGTTTAAGGTCAAAATAGGGGGAAATTTGGCATGAGGAGGCATGGAGGTCTCAACCAGTTCCATTGCCCCAGTAAGATTCTGGGCTGGAGCCGGGTGGACTTTTCTTGGCAGTGTGGCCTTTCTGCCCCTTTCAGATCTGGTCACTGCCTCCTCCAAGAAGGGGAAGAGAAGCTCCCCAGGTTATGGGAGGCCTTCCATAAGGAGCTAGAGTAGAGCTATCCAGTCAAAGCCAAAGCCACTTCCCTGGGACACATCCAACCTGGGGTATCTGCCTCTGGGCACCCCTGATTAGAGAGTAAGCGACTCAGGGTAAATCCACCTCTTGGAAAGGGATGGGAGGAGAGTCAGAGAGATCTAGAGGATGTTCTCCTTGGCTCTCCTTTTAGCAGATTCCATAAATGTTCTATGGATGCCAGCTTGTGTCTCCCTGCCCCTGGTCCCTCCCCAAGCTTGAGTCCACCTAGTCCCTTGGCAGTGAGGAGCTTGAATCCCAGAACTCCAATGGAAGTCAGAGTTGGCCCCAGCCCACTGACCAGGAAATCTGAACGACTAGCATTTCTGTAAAGGTGGGCAGATCCTTGGAGCAGCAAGAAGTTCTTCTGGTCCTTGGTATGTTCACCAGGGTGGAGGCTCAACATGGTCGGGCACAAAATTGCAGGAGAGATGAGACTGGTACTGAGCTTCCCAGGACAGAACAGAAGATGGAGGGCAGTACCCTGGTCTACATATGGCCCTACAGACCCACTATCACTCTCCAGGTGCTGAGGTGAGACGTCTGGCAGACGAGGAGCAGTGCTGGAGAACAAAAGAGGCAGGGCGAGCCCGGGGCCACCTCCTCTTCTTGTCCCAGGGGCTATTTAAACCATTATGGAGCTTAACCCCAGGCCTTTGGGCTGAGAGATGCCAGAGAATGAGTCTCCGTTTTGTTTTGTTGTATCTGAGAACTCGGAGAGAATGTCAGGGTCCTCTCTGAGACTGCTAAGACACTCCACAGGGCGTGTGGCAGGGGGCTGAAGTGGGGACTGGGGGGAGGGGAGACAACTCTGCCAGTAGTCATATAACCTTAGCCTCAGTGTCTTGGCACAGAGCTGTTATGGAGACCCTGGCATGTTAACGGTGAACACATGCATGCTTGTACGCACGCGCACGCGCGCGCGCGCACACACACACACACACACACAAACACATAGGGTTCCTGGCATCTGCCTCTGGTGCTTCTGGGCAAATGGAAACAGAAAAATAATTAGAACTCTGTGTGTTGGGAACTCGGTTAGACACACTGGCTTTAGGCCTCTGTCCTGGGCCTACGCTTCAGGACTGGCTGTTTAAAAGGGCCACAGACATGGCCCCAGGGAGCCCTGGGGAGCCCTGGGATTTGTCTTCCATCAGCCCTGGGGCTTGTAGAATCCACTCACCTTTCCTGTGAAAGTGAGACATGCCCTTCACTGCCCCCCACCACATGCTCCCAGTGCCTGACCGCCTCCCCACCTCCCTTCTCCCCTCCAGCCTCCAGGGAGGTCATCTCCCTTCCGACCCCTTTGTGGGGTGGGGCTCAAGTGTTAATGATGACAATACAGCTTCGTGTGTCATGTCCTCAGGAAACACCCGTGCATTTGGACAGGTGTCATCGGTGACAACGGCCCTGGAAGGTCCTGGCAGGCGTGAACCCAGATCCCCACCCTCATCTCCCCATCGTGCACTTCCTGGAGGTGACAATTCACTGTCTTCCTCTCCCCAGAAGCCGGCCGCAGACGACTCCCATCAGCTGATGGGGGCTTATCCCCACTGGGCTCAGCAAGCTGGAGCAGGCCCCCCGGGACCAGAGAGGTCTCATGGCGGCCCAGGCCCCCATCGCTCCCACCTGTGCTTGGCCACGCGGGCAGCAGGCGGCGGGCAAGCTCAGGCCTCACTTGGCCCCACACGGCGGGACCCTGGCTAGGCCAAGCCGCCCGCGGGGGTCCCGCCCGCTCCAGGCGAGTTCGGGGTCTGGAAGGTCGAGTGGAGCCTGGTCAGCAACTCGGGCTCATCGCTCTTCCCCGAGGCGTCGGGGGTGCCCGACGGGTAGGCCTCCCTGGCCCGGCCGGTCCTGGCGCAGGTGAGGAAGGCCAGGCAGGCCCCGCGCAGGCGGCCCAGGTCCCTGTGGGTGGACTCGCTGACGAAGCAGTACAGCACGGGGTCAGCCACGCAGTTGAAGCTGGTGAGGAGCAGGGCGAAGTGGTAGGCGTTGAAGACGGCCCTGGCGAACTGGCAGCTGGCCTCCCAGAGGCTGCGCACCAGCAGCAGGGTGTGGTAGGGCAGGAAGCAGGCCAGGAAGATGACCACCGTGCTGAACACGAGCCGCTGGATCTGGTCCTTGCGGCTCTTCTGGGTGCCGTGGCTGCGGCGCACGGCCCGCAGGATGCCCTGGTAGGAGGCCAGCAGCAGGCACAGCGGGAAGAGGAAGCCCACCAGGAAGCGGTAGTAGTTGATGCCGCGCTGCCACGGCTCCAGCGGGTAGTGCTCGAAGCAGACGCGGTGCCGCTTGTCGTCCTCCACCACCTCCTGGTGCCTGAGGAAGTAGACGCTGGTCAGCAGCTCCTTGGCCCAGATGAGCGCGCTGACGCCCACGGCCGCCTTCAGGGTGCGGAACTGGTGGAAGCGGAAGGGGTGGGCCACGGCCAGGTAGCGGTCGATGGAGATGCAGCACAGGAAGCCCACGCTGATGTAGATGTTCTCGTAGAGGAGGATGCCGCACAGCTGGCAGGACAGGTCTCCGTGCGACCAGTTGTCGTGCTGCAGCACGTACTGCAGCCAGAAGGGGAGCGAGCAGATGTAGAAGAGGTCGGCCACCGTCAGGTTGCACAGGTACACGCCCAGCTCGTTCCGGGCCTTGATCTGCAGGTAGCCGAAGTAGAGGGACAGGCAGTTGGCCGGGAAGCCCACCACCAGCACCGCCACGTAGACCACCGGGGCCAGAGTCTGGTGGATGGTGTGGTCGATGGGACAGCTCAGCGACGAGTTCTCAGTGACGTTCCCCATCTTTGGGCCTCAAGGGGCCTCGCCCCTCATGGGCTCGGGGAAGGGGCCGGGCTCTCTGACGCCATCTTGCTTGCGGGATGTGGCTCAAGCCGGTTCAAAGGCTGGGCCTCCTCGGTGGCGGGGAAGTCCCTGAAAGCTGAAGGCGGGAGAGGCTTAGGGTAACAGCAGCTCACATTTCCGTAGCACCTACTGTGTGCCAGGTCCCGTTCTAAGTGCCTCACCCCATCGAGAAGACGGCCCGGCCTCAACTCAACTAGACTATCCCAGCGGGTTGTACACCAGGATACTAAAATGTGAAAGGTGGTTTGGGCCTCCTTGTCCCCCTTCCCTGGCCTCCCGTCCCTTATTTATTTTCCTGGTCCCTCGGGGCAGCAAGCAAGGCTAGGAGCCCTCGTGAGCACAAACCCTCCAAGGGAAGCTCAAGGTAAAGTTCAGTTCCGACCCACGCACGACAGTGAGGGCTCCAGCCATTCTCTACGACAGCACTATGCATCCGTCACATCTTTCCTGCTCCAAGACATGTACCAGGGCAGTTAACACTGAGGTCACGGCCCCTCCTGGGGGCCTCTCCAGACAGCAGGGCCCAACCCTGTCACGTCCTCTTGTGCTCTGGCAAAAAAAACAAAGGCCGTGCTTCCCTCAGGCCACTGCCTGGATTCCCGGTGCTCCCCAGGAGGTGCTCCCTCACCTCTTCTCTGGAGAACTGAGGGCCCAGCGCAGGGAACAGCACAAGACGGGAACCAACAGAAATGAACACGAGGCCGGGGTCAGCCGCTTACAGGCCGGGCAAGTCATTTACCCCTTGTCTCAGTTTCCTCATCTAGAAGGTGGGGATAGAAGCACTCACCCTCAGGGGCAGTATCAGGGCCACATCAAACGATGGATGTCAAAATGCACGGCATTGTTTTGCCAGAGGGAAAGAGGCCGAGTCAAAGATGGTATTTGCAAGAAGTTTATCGTGTTGAGAATTTAAGAAAGAAAATGCTATTGCTCTATTTACAGATACATTAGAACAAAATAGAATAAAAATTGTTGTTGTAAGCCTACTTTATAAATTATCTGATATATATATATACACACGTATATATATATATCAGATATATATATATACACACAGATATATATATATACACATATATATATATATATATATATATAATGAAAAGCCTGAGCTCCTCTATTGATTAAACACTCCTGGTTCCAGTGAAAAATCTCACTGTGAGTCTAAATCAGGATGTTTCAACTTTTTGCTTGTTTGTTTAACAGTCATCCTCCCCGGGGGCACCTGGGTGGCTCAGTCAGTTGAGTGTCTGACTCTTGATTTCAGCTCAGGTCATGATCCCAGGGTTGTGGGATCAAGCCCTGCATCGGGCTCCGTGCTGAGCGTGGAGTCTGCTTAGGATTCTCTCTCTCCCTCTCTCTCTCTCTCTCCCCCTCTTCCACTCTCACTCTCTCATGCTCTCTCTGTCTCAAAGAAAAAGAAAGAAAGAAAGAGAGAAAGAAAGAAAGAAAAGAAAAGAAAAAGAATTATTCTCCCAAAGACCCTCATTAGACATTTTTCCCCCAACCACCCCCTTTCCATGAAATTTTAATACCCCATATGTATTGCATATCTCTTTGTGTCCTGTAGCCTTTTGGAGGGTGACAAATCATCGTAATAGCTCAGATTTTTTTCACCCCCTCCCCCCCGGAGAACATACAGTCTTATATGGTTGCAAATTCTGAATGAGTAACATTCGAATTAAGCTATTTTGAAGCATCAGCAAATCAACCCTGTCCTTTGCATGGTCTCTCAACAATAGTCAATCCGGGACTCAAGGACCCAGAAGGGAAAAGCCTCAGAGTCTGCCCCCAGCCACCTCACCGCCAGCTGACCAGGCCCCCTCCCACCGCCATCTCCCTCCTGCAGCTCTGTTGTGGCTCCTGCCTGGCCTCTTGCCTCTAAATGGGCAAGAGATGGTTCTGGTCCAAAGCTACCCTCCTCACCTGGAGTCCCTGGGACTCCTTGGGGCTCCCCCCAACCCCACCCCGGCTCTCCCCTTCATGCTCCTGCCCATTACCCACATGGAAGGCACAGCCATCTTTCTAAATATAACCAGGTCTTCTTCTTCTTCCTTGCTTAAAACCCACTGAGATGGCTTCTTATCACACCTACAGTAAAGCCCAAACTCCTTACGGGACCTACAAGGCCCAGCATGATCTGGCCCCGACTCCCTCAGCCTTGCCCACCACCACCACCCTCTGGCGACAAAGGCCAGCTCTCTGCGCCTCAGGCCCGAGGAAGGAAGCGTGGGCAGGAGGACCCAGGTCTGCCTACTCCATGTCCCCCCTCCTGGCCAGCCAGTCCCCACCTGAGACTCACTCTCGAACTCTCAGTCTCCAGAAGGCAGGACTCCCGTCGAGCTCACCTCTCCACCCTCTCCAGGACACAAGCCCGGAATCTCAGTGATGGTGGTGGAGGGGAGTGCTTCTTGCTGTTTTTAATTGTGGTTAGATATATATAACATAAAATGTACCATGTTAACCATTTTTAAGTGTACATTTTTAAGCGGTGTGAAGTACATTCACACGGTTATGCAACCATCACCACACCACCCGTCTCCAGAACTTTCTCATCTTCCCAAACTGGAAAACTCTGTATCCGTTATACCCTATTCCCATTCCCCTATACCCCATACCCCATTCCCCTCACCCCCCAGCCCCTGGCAAGCTCCATTCTACTCTCTGTCTCTGAAGTTGACTATGCTAGGACCTCGTGTGAGGGAAATCATTCGGTGTTTGCCTTTTTGTGTCTGGCTTATGTCACTTAGCAAAATGTCCTCCGGGTTCATTCATGGGGTAGTATATTGGAGAATTTCCTTCTTCCTGAAGGCTGAACAACATTACGTTGTGTGTATGTACTGTGTTTTTGTTTTCCCACTCATTTGTCAATGAACATCAGAGTTGTTTCTATCCTACCTACTGGTCAGTGTGAATAACACTGCAATGAACAGGGATGCCGAGGATCCGCTTGAGTCCCCATTTTCAGTTCTTTGGGGTGAACACCTAGAAGTGGAATTCCTGGATCATAGGACAGTTCTATTTTTAATTCTTTTGAGGAACTGCCATTCTGTTTTCCATAGTGGCTGCATCATTTTACATTCCTACCCACAGTGCACGAGGGTGTTTTCTTATTTTTTGCTTTTTGTGGTTTTTTTTTTTTTTTTTTTTTTTTGGTTTTGCTTATATGTTTTGATGGTGAGAGGAAGGGGGAAAGGAGGCAGATGAGCCCTGTGACCCCTCAACTCTGCCCACGGCCGGTGAGTCAAACTTTGGTTCCACTCACCCTCCACTTGCCGGCCCTCCTATCCCTGAATCCCAAGCCCACGCACAGTTCAGCTGGCTTACATATGAGGTCAGCAGCCGGACATGTCCCTGAACTGTCCCCAAGAGCACTCACCCAGGACAGCCCCGTCTCTAGATTTACCTCAGGTTCTCCAAAGTCCAGTCCAAAGTCCACCCGCAGGAAGATAAAATTCATTCATAAGCACAGGCCCCCAGACGCCCCCAAAACAGGGCAAATGAAGCCATCGTGAAGAAAAACACGTCCTGTCGGGTCTTTGGAAGGTCACCAGGCTGAAACCTATTGTTTATAAGTGGTGAGTGTATATATGTGTGTGTGGCGGGTGAGGGGGGAGCTGGGGCAATGGCTTGTGGCTTCCTCTTTCCTAGGCCAACAATAAGCGAATTCTGGCAACCAAAGTAAAAAATGTTCAAGCGTGCAAGGCAGAGAAGAAACATTTACTATGTTTAGGTTAAAACACCTCCTACGTTCCCTTGTAGCGAAAAGTGGGTTTGGGTGTTCCAGAGCCGTGGTTTTCATATTTAGGTGCATCTGAGTCACCTGGAAGATTTGTTCAAAACAGATTATTGAGGGGCGCCTCAACTGGTTAAGTGTCCGACTCTTGGTTTCGGTTCAGGTTGTGATCTCGCAGTTCATGAGTTCGGGCCCTGTGTCGGGCTCCGTGCTGACAGTGTGGAGCTTGCTTGGGATTCCCTCTCTTCCTCCCTCTCTGCCCCTCCCTCGCTCATACTCTCTTCTCTCAAAATAAATACATAAACTTAAAAAAAAAAAAAAAACACCTTATTGAAATTATTGAGCCTTACCTACCGAATGTCTAATCCAGTGGGTCTGAGGTGGGGCTTGAGAATTTGCAACATGCTCCTATGTGGTGTTGGTATGCCAGCCCGCTGACCACACTCTGAGTAGCAAGGCACTCAAAGCTCTAGAAAGTCTGGGATCTGAGTCCTGATAAGGGGCAGGATAAGTATCCTGATAACTCGAGTTCCCAAGCTGGGAGGCAGAGGTAGCTGTAAGGGGAACTTAACGACCCAACAGAACCCTTATGGGCAGAACCAGGATGCAGCCTTTGGGAGGTCAACAGCCTGACTCACTCTCTCAAGAAATAGGGACTGGATCTGTCCGGGTTCTTACACCTCATATTTGCAAAATCTTCTGCAGTTTACAGAGCATTTCACCTCTGCCCTCTCACCCATCTTCACTACAGCCCTGTTATTTTCCCCATTTTAGGCAAGAGGACACTGAGGGATGGAGTGGCTTGTCCAAGAGTCCAGTTCCTCTGTGTTCCTCCCACCCTCAGGGAGCCTCCAGTCTCACAAGACAGAACAGCACGCACAAATGACTACCGCTCGAGGCAGCGCACGGTGGTACTGTGAGCCCCCCTCATACTCACGTTTAATTTGGTTTGTTCTTTTCACTCCACACACGGCCTCTGTGGGACAGCCTCCCTCTGTGGTTTCAACCCCATCTGCACTCTGATGACTCCAGGCCTCCCACCAGGTGGACAGTGGACGTAACCAGCTTCCCGCTGCCTCACAGGACGTGCTCCATGATGAGGCCCAGCCCCCTTCCATCATTTTCTGCACTAATGGCCTCTTGGAAGGGGCATCTCTACCTGTGCAGATGAATGGCCTTTGGCTTCTTCCCTTATCTTCATCCAAAGCATCCAATTAATTACCCAGTTCTACCATTTTCAACTCCTAAATATTTCCCACATCAGTCTCTTCCTCTTCATTTCCTACACCAATGCCCTAGATTGACTTGGTCAAGACTTCACCCCCAGCATCGGTACAACG